CTTTTTTCGCTGCGAGAACCCCAGGTTCAGTCCTGATCAGTGGTGGACCTAGGGTTCAAGCTTCGCGTGCGGAAAGCGGAAAGTCGCTCTCTGTCCTAGCGAACCACACCAGATGCAGCCATATTCTGCGGCTGCTTCGTTTCCAGATACGTATCGGTCATGCGGTCGTATAATCGCGCGGTCTCACGGATACCACGATCGATACGTATCTATCCACGCTCGAACTGCAAGTTGGTCGCAAAGTATGACTGCACCCTTCGATCGACGATGCGTTCGTCCTCGTTGAAGCCGTTGAAAGTCAAATTGATACATCTTTTCTTCCTCCCCACCCTACCGCTTCCAAGCACCAGTTTGAAATGAAACAATAAATTGAACAGCGTGACCTGCTTTGAAGTGCTCGGTCAAAGGTCTGATCTTATCTGGCCTGACATGAAGCATGGGGATAATACTATACAACAGCTTGGTGGGTGCATCCACTAATTTAATGGTTTTTGCGCCGGCTCAAGAAGCTCATTTTTGTGGCTATTGTAACGAAACTCCTGTAGTTAGTTCGGACCGCTTTTCTACATTTCTACTCCATTTTTAGTTGTTTGTTTATCTCTTCTTTTATGTTCCTCTGATCTACAAAATTTCGTGGGAAAATTTGTATAGCTTGCTTTATACATAATGCACCTGACAGAATCCTTAGAAGATCGTGTCGCAGAGAATTCAGAGAATATTTGATGAAACAAGCCGCATGAGGGTATGTCAAAGAGAACGTTCATTTCGAAATGGAATCCTTACCCAAAACCACCGCCGATCTCTGTCAGAAGTCGTGGTCGTCCTCGTAGTGATGAGATCCACTCCGAAAAGCGAGCAGGTATGCTCTGGACGAAAAATTTCTTTTTTTTCGATAGATTGATTCAGCTTCCAATTGTAGCTCCTGCTGAAATTAATGATGCTGGAGGGATCCGTTGGTATGGAGATCCCTCACAGACGAAAGCGCCTCCTCGAATTACCCATGGGAGAATGACCCAAAGGGTTGGATTGTTTCGGAATGCTAAACAATCTCAAATAGTGGTCAACGAGATTTCTTCTGTTGTCAGGAAAGCGGTGAGTTTGTGTATAGTCATTTCAAGTTGAACAAATTTTTAAGGTTATTTTTATTTAGAAAGGTTTCCGAGACAAGAAAATTTACTTTCGGAAATCACATAGTCTGTAGTTCTGTTCCAGAGATTGCGTTTTAACAAATGACCGCTGGCTGGTATTTGGTTAATTGGTGCCACCATTCTTTTGTATTATCTGGTTTGCAAGAGCTCGATATTGCTCTATACTGGCACATCGTCTTTGAATTGATTTCGCGCTCATTTAACCATGCATTTTTTTTTATCACGGACTATTTTTGTTATGTTACACTTTTCTCCCAGCTCACTTTTACACTAGCTATTGTTTGATGTACTCATTTTTTACTTCATATGTTTTTGATGTAAACGGAAATGGGATCCCTCATGAGAAACTGAAATTGTTTCTTTAGTCAAATTCACTATTATGCCATGGTTTTTCCCAGAACTACATCGTAGAGCAAATTGGTTGACGATGGTCGACCGATAACGTTTTGAGAAAGCTGCAATTTCCGCAAGTCTTTCTTATTTTGATTTCTTCGAATATTTGTTGTATTTCAGTCAAACAAACAGATCGGGCGTCTCGTTGCTCCAGAAAAAGACAGAAAAAGACGTTCCATGCTCAAGCGGATATGCGGACGATCCGTTCTGCGATGATCATCACCGACAGTATGGTACCACTCACGAAGCTAAAAGGTAATTAATTTTGTAGCTAGCTTCGTAAATTATTTCTTCATTAAACTCATCGTGATTGTTGCTCATTTCATAGCCGAATCTCTATGGGGGTTTTCTTAGAGAGCGTGATCGAAGCTCGATTAGATGTGACTTGTACTTAAATGATAATAATCTGCTACTTATTTGGTTTCCTCCGTTTTGTCAGAGAATCGACCTCTATCAACTCTTGAGTTCTGTTACTGTTTAAAGCTCACGATACGATCGATTCAGCGAATCCGCTGAGAAAAGTTTATGTACTGTTCTGGAGATGCAGTGGTTAAGTGGTTTCAATACCGATGATCACATGTGGTGATTAAAGTTAGGATGGGGTGATGAATCCGGCGTCGAAGAGGAGGAAATGCGTCCATTGTATCATAAAGGGAAGGTTTAAGGTGAGGGAAGAGGATTCGCTGCGAAAGGCACTCCCCTATTGCCTGGTGGAACCATACTCAAGGTGGCGAATTTTTTTCGCGGCTGTACGAACAAGCCAGTTTGCTACACTGTTGCTGGTCCCTTGTCGCCGGCCATTTGAGCAGGAAAGTGAGCAGCAGCGTTAAGTTGCGAGCTCAGCCACCTTTAGCTTGCGCCAACGCTGAATACGAGGTGAACAAGGGTCCGCTCGTTCGTCGATGTGTTTGGCACTACTTCCTACGTGTTTGTCGCTGCTGGACCTCGGTTAGCATTGTTACTCTCAATCGTCAGTCTGGCGGTCATTTTACTGCGCCCATCGCCGTTGTCGTACTTGAGCGGGCAAAGTCGCGGATGGTTTTGCGCCAGTGCAAGCGTGACGCTCTTTCGGCGCTGCGGACGGTTAGACGCGGACGGCGGCAGACTATGTAAAGCAGCCTCATGGCGCGAAAGTTGTCGAGCATTATGGGCAGACGGCATGATTCGTTCGCCAATGGGAATGATATGTGTCTGAGCGTTCTGCGGGTCACCCTGGTGCACGAAACCAACGGAGTCTGGCTGCGAGAACGGGGGAAGTTCCCTTACAGATTAAGTTACGACAGCGGTAATTGATTCGATATTATGAGAGCTTCTTGATTATATTTCGTTCTTTCTAATCGCTTAAGCAGATTATGGCTCCGAAGGAACCAGAAGGCGAACACTGTGGAAAATACTAAGGATTCCCGAACAGAGATTCTCAAAACACGTGAGGGTTCTGTCGGCCGACCTCCCTCAGGAACGTCCTCATGGCGGTAGATTTTTACCTGTAACTTACGGAATAGTTTTTTTGGTTCATGCATATTTTACAGGGCACGTGTGGAATCTAATGGCATTAGTGATTTTGGCAGTCATGACATATCATTATCATACGAAGTAGCAAGGCCTTCGCCCACTCGCGTTGTAAGTTTTTTTTTTCATATTTTTCTCGTTTGTCCCATCTTTTTATTGGTCTTTCTGCTACGGTTTTTCTAAGGAACACTTCAGAAATGCACAAACCCTGTTTCGAGGATAGCTGCCATGAGAATGGTACCCCTCCCCGTGGCTATTTGTTGCGTGAAAAAGGATCATTAGCGTGAGTTTCTTTGACATTCTTTCTTTTTCAGCCCCAGAGGTTAGTTTTGATGTTGGTTTTTCTGATGCTGTTTTTCATACATGAAATTTTGTAGCATGTTGCCTCAGTCTTATACGTAAGCGCGATTTCATGCTGGGAGAAAGAAATGAGTTTGAAGCACGAGCTGGCCTCTTAGTCTAGGGCGAGTTCCAGCGATGGTGACGTAGTCAATGATTTTTTTCTTCTGGGGGGATGGCATCTGTTGTCAATCTTCAGTAGCAGCGAGAAGCCAAGTCTTAAGACGAGATTCCCATGAACGGAGATGTGATGGAAATTTGAAGGCGAAGCGAAGAACATGATCAAGGGAGAAATAGAGCACCTGAAAGGAGCAACAGTAGGACAAGCCCCGATAGGATCACGTAGCTGTTTCGGCAGGGCAGGGCAACGTTTTTGTTGTAAAACAGCGGTAGCCGAGTGGCAGCTCTGGGAGTCGGCTACCGCTGTTTTACAGTCGACTCACTACGCTGGGCTTCTATTTCCTCGCCGCGCTCTGGAACACTTCGATAAGGCACTGCAAAACGTCTTAAAGCAACAGTCCCAGCAGGGCGGAAAACGGCCGATGGGATCGCAGCCGACGGAGGCAAGCACGCCCACTTCGAAGCCGTTCAACTCCCTTTCTAGAGGCTTTCCAAGGTGAGTTTTATGTTCAGTCACACTTCTTATGTTGTTGACTAATTGTAAGGCTAGCGTATCGTTCCACACCATTAGTGTTGAAGGTAAAAACCCTGCTGAGACTGTTGTTTTAATGTCGCGCCTCGTTTGCTGGTTGGGCACGTGTCGAGGAAATTTAGGCGAACAGGAGCTAGAGCCGTAGATTTGACCTCCTTGATTTCCTCCATCTATACCCCACGTGGCATTTCCGTGAAATACAGCACTATTTTTTTTACCAAGCATGACACCCTCCTCCCATTTTGGCAAATACGACACCCCTACAGAGGGATCACCTAGCCCTACTGTAAAACTTACGCCAGGGGAACGATTTTCGCAAGCGAAGGGTGAATCCAGAAAGATGGGAGAAACTTATGCACCAGTTGGCAAAAGATGCCGGCATTACCTGTTTGGTAATTGCAGAACAGCGAAAGAAGAGTTTTCGTGTTTGACGACGGAATGTGGAACTCTTTCTAATTTTTTTGGTTTTCTACTCGGGGACGTAGGATTAGAGGAGTTTATTCATTGAAGTATCAAGCCTTTTTATGTCAGTATATTCTGTTGTACTGTATTTACGTGTATGAACAGAACACGTCTAAAATTATCTGAACAAAGTTGTGTGAGAGCGGGCAAAACTCCGCTTCTTAAGAGGCTCAGGAGACCGAGTGAATAGGCCTTCTATGTCTGGCGTTGCTGCCCGTGTGCTATCGGCTTTGCCGCCGATCTATCTACGAGATGATCACCACGAGAAGTACGATACGTTAGCTGTGCGTTTACTAGCTGAGAGTATCAAATGTAGGGATTCTACGAATGGATCGAGTCCCAATGTGAGTATGTTGCCGTTAGCTCTTTGGTTTTAGGTCTTTAGAATTTTCCGGTCCATTCTTTTGTTCAGATTTTTCGCTCGTTTTTGAATAGCACAACTAGGATTATAGCTGAGGAGAACTCCACCCAACCTGATGATGACGGTTGCGAAGATGTATTTCAGGAGCAGTAAGTGGCAGCTGGGTGCATGTCCACTCTTTCAGAGGGTTTGGAGTCCTTATTACAGAGCTCTCAACATTGGCGCTTCTCCGGCTGCCACCGCCACCACACCGGTGCTCGAAAGGTTGTTCAATCAGACTGTGGCTGGATGGAACGCCGGAAACAGCTTAGACTCTCCGTCACGTGCTGGAGCAAATGCCACGCATGTGGAAAAGGTTTTTGGAACGTTTTATATAAGCCTCGCTTCACTGATGATTGTATCGAAGTTAAGGCTTCATCGATGATGACACCGTCATCAGTAGGTTCGAATCAATTGGAAGCAGCACCGTTTCTCTTTGAGGAAGATCATCTGTGGAATTCTGCTTCTCCCGCCGGGAACCTGGATAATTTCCCCTTTTCAAGAGGTAGGTATTGCTTCTGCACAAAAATAGAGATATGCTTGAATTGAGAAGGAGTACGTGCATTCGAGCTCAAGCATTGAGAAACATAATTTGTTGACTTGTTGCCGGTTTACTGCCGATAGTGTAGAACATATAGCTGCGTGCTTGGTTTACGGACTACTTGATTTTTCCTCAATGGTCCTGCCGCGATGGCTAGAGCACAGACGATTAGAGAACGGGTGAATGCCCTAGGACTAAGCCTTGGAGAGGAGAGGGACCCGCGAGAGAGCGCAGAGGCGGTTTAAAGGGCTGAGTTCAAGTAGTCCGTCGACCGTAATCTTGGGCCTCATGTAGGAAGTAAGGTGAGGGCGTTCCAATACATTCTTTTTTTTCAGAGGCGTCTCCCGCAAGTTCATGTAACAGCGATGATCCCGTGGACGTCAGCCCAACTTCTTTTGAATGGACAATACCACCTGCAAAGAGTGATATCTTCGATGTAATGAACGCTAAGTAAGGCGTTGAAACCTACAAAATTTATTTTTGTATAGAAGCTCACCTGGTGAGCGTTTAATAATAGGTATATCCCTGCACATTACATATAGTAGTAAGAGTATTTTAAAGTTCCCGATGATATACGGTATACGGAATTCTCCTGAGAATAGTACTGTATCATGTTCAAGTTGATTATTTTACGATTCTTTTTTTTTTCTTAAATGAAAGCTGTACATGGATGGTGTTGAGTGCCGCTATAGCTCACATCTACAGTAGCTCATTACCATCATGGCCTGGATTCACGCAAATTTCAGTTGGGTGCGTCATCAAATTCGTGAGAAAGCTGCAGCCAATGCGCGGCTTTCCTCCTAACCTGAGCACAATCCACAGGGGTGTGCATTTACATGTCAATCACAGCTCCCTGATTGATTTAGTCAATGGCGCTACAGTATGGCTAGCAACTGGCAGAAATGTGCCCCGCCACTTCATAAGCCGCCGCAAGTCTGCCACATGGCACCCTTGGCAATGGCTTCGATTTAAAGTGAGTCATGGCAAAAGCTTCTCCAAAGGCACAAATCGAGCTTATTTGTTTGATTGTTTGGCAGTTTTTGCGATCCACAGCTGCATTTTTTGTAAAACACTCGCAGTGGGAACTGCGGCATTAAAATAACACTTAACAAGCAAAGCAAGTCAAAATTGATGTCCTCGGCCAACGGGTTAGATGTGTGAGTGCTGGTAAGCTATGGTGAACATACATGGAAGCTGACTTAAAGGCACAAGTCGGGATCGAGTTGGGGTATTTTGGCGCTTGAAAGTAAGTGCAGATATGTGTAATGGAACGCCAGCGAAGAAAAATGGGAAAAAAGCCGTCGACAAGGCCGAAAATTAAATTTCCTCTCTCCCCAACAGCGGCGAAGGAGGCTGGCTTAGGAGAATGCATGTCCGGACGAGTTTTCGGACATGCCAAACCATTTGCTCTGGCTCCGTGAAAGCAGCTGGTATGGCAATCAAGCGGCAGTCCAGCTGATTTCACGCGTTATGTCAGCCACGCACCACTACTGGCAGTGGGCGTCGTGGATGCGACGGTCGTCTGAATGCTAACGGCCAGGGTTGCTATAGCCTGCAGGTTTCGCCGTAAAAGCACGGCATCACGTCTCTGTGGTTGCGGAGCCTGATCCCCCCGATCAGTGACTTGAGTGGCATGTACTCCCAGTGTTTGTAATCAGCAGCACAAAGCCCAGGAAACTAGAGGTGCGGGTTCAATCTCCGCCTAAGGCGAAAGTTTTGTCCATAACTCAGATGCTTGTGAAACATTTGCAACGTGAAAACATCTGCGTAAACCAGCAATTAACCAACGAAACAAGCCTTTCCAGTGTTTTCGTAGTAGCAAAAACCTATTGAATCCATGATTTTTTTTTGCACATATGACAGCGGTAATATGGATCATTTTTATTCCCGTTATTCAATACAGTAGACACGTCGAGATCATCACATGAAAATATTGAAAAAATAACAAAATACAGCCTACGCAACTCAGGTAGCCGTGTCAGCAGGCAATACGCGAGCAGTACCCACGCGTTCGCATGCCCGGGTTACGCTTATCAAAAGACAGTTCGCGCTCGGGTGTAGGCGGGGTTTGCAGGACGTGCTGAGCCGTGGCTAGCCAATAAGAGACATTCCAAACCGTCCCGCCCAGGCCCGGCGGCGAACTGCGCCATCAACAAAGACTAGAAATTGCAACAAATTTTGATATGAAAAATAAGAGCCGTATGAAGCGTCGTAAATAGGAGCTTATTCCTTGGCCAAAACCTGTTTCTGCGTGAGTGCCCAATATGCACCCTTGGCTTGCATTAGTTCGTTGTGCGTTCCTGAAGAAATGGATTAGATCATTTGGAAAGGATAAGCACTTGAGGGTTAGAAATTGTACCTTTCTCAACTACTTTTCCTCCTTTGACAACCATTATACAGTTGGCGTTGACGACAGTCGAGAGTCGATGTGCCACAACGATACATGTTCGACCTTCTGATGCCTTGTCAAGCGCCTCTTGCACCACCTGAACACCGGAAATTTCTTCTAAGATATCGAAAATCGAACAGTTATGGTGGCCTTGCGTGGAATTGAAACACGGAAACTTCCCCTTTCGCTTAGAGCAACACCCCCAGCAGAGGTCGTGTCGTATCAAAAGTGCGTGACAATGGCGCTAGGGTCTTACAAAGTCAGCATTTGGCGACTAATCTTAGCATTTGGACGAGTTACGTAGCGCACACCCATGACACGCAACGTGGATTACGGCGTAGCGGCTAATTCAAATACGCGCGGGTTAGTTGAGCCGTGGAGCAGGCAAGTTCGTACAACTCGTCCGGCCCCGCCCCTTTCTTTTTTCAGGGAAATTTTGTTTAGGCTTCATCCGACGTTTTCTGCTTCTTTTTTCATTTGTTATTAGATTCGCATCTCGCACAAAACTTCATTGTCAGAACAGCTGTGAACCCCACAAGTTCAATGTGGGGTGCTTGCCTTGAAGGGACACCTCAAAGTCAAACTGCTATAGCTGTAGAACACAAACATTAAGATAGAGCTACGGGAAGGACCGTCAGTGAAAAAAGCAGAAGAGCCATCGAAAGCGTTGACAGTAAGGGCCCCTTTTTGTTAGGTCGACGCAGTGCGGCGGAGGGAACTAGAGATGAGAGAGTACGCGAGATAGCACACTGAACAAGAGGGAGCATGCTGCGAAAGAGGAACAGCGAAGCGGTCGAAGCGGTTGTAAGAAACCCCTCTCTCCTTTATCGCGAACCTCAGAACCGCAAAAGCTGCGCATCTGCGATTTTCATAGACAGCCTTATCGTTTTGAGGGGGAACTGATCCCTAGGAACTCATTCTAGGATTGCCGTTTCTATTTATTATGCAAACTGCCGACAATACCTTCTCGCTTTCAGTATCGAGAGCACTTGTGGCTTCGTCGAGTAGTAGGATTTTTGGATTCCGAACAAGTGCACGTGCGATGGCGATCCGTTGTTTCTGCCCACCAGATAGTTGCGCTCCTTTTTCTCCTGCACGTGTGTTGTAGCCCTAAATTGTTAATTATGCAGCCTTCAATGAGAGAGTTTGGCGTAAATGGTGCTCTGGTCGTGGAATCGAACTTACATCAGGCAGTCCTATGATGAAGCTGTGAATGTTAGCACGTTGAGCGACTTCGTGTACTTGGGCATCGCTAACGGATCCTGGTGGAAGACCGTAGAGGATGTTGTCTCGGATGGATCTGTCGAAAAGAATCGGCTCTTGCGACACCAAAGCTATATGGGCACGCAGATGAGTAGGGTTCACTTCGCGCAGATCGTTACCGTCAACTTCCTATAAATATGTGACACATACGATGTGTTAACAATAGAGCACATATGTATTTCGTTTGAAGTACACATTGAGAGAATCCAGTCTAATAGTTAGAAGCTATGTATGAGATGGGACCATGTCACAATGAGACGCGAGCGGATGCGCTGCGGCGTCAAATCAATGCGCATTTTGGTTACCCAGCACAACTTACCCTACCATCGTGTCCTACAATTTATGTTTTACTCAAATCCATGTCCCTCGGAAGGGCAGCTAGAAATAATGTCATTTTCTTATCTTTTCTTATTTTATTTCTTGTAAGCATAACTTTCATTATGCTCTTTTCGAAGCTGGGTCAATCGTCCTGTTGTGCCAGTTCAACAATTGGGACGCTC